AGAGTGCTGGACTGCTGGTGCCTAATTTATTAATGGCTTTTTTTTAAGATAATTCAATCTACTGTAACTTTGGATGCACATGTAAAAAGAATACTACCATAGTTAATAGTTTAGTAGTTTTATGCTGTTGTAAGCTTAGGCTGTTTTTACACTGTAAAGTCTGCAGTAAATATACAGTCATTTAGACCCATTTAATTATAAATTGACTATTTAATATGATCCCAGGCTAGACATTTGGCATGATCCAGCTTGCAATATGAACTCTATCGACTGTTTACAGTAAAGTGAATTATTCTACTTCTTTCTGGTCTAGACAGGATCTCATTAATTGTTGCCGGGATCACACCTGCCAGGACAAGAAATTCTCATACAAGCACTCTATCATCCCTGCGAGGCGGGGTGTATTCCGTCTATATAAACACACCATCCTGGGGCCAGTTGTTCAAAGCTGGGTTAGCTTAACCGTAGGTTAACCTAAAATTCAAAGCTAACTTCCTGACAGCTTGTCTATAAATTTGAAAATATTTTTTCAGAGATCTTGTCTGGATTGATAGGAGTTTTCTTCTCTGAAGTTTTGAAGTAAACAGACGTGCAGAAATACACAAACTAAAACAGCAGGTTAAATTTTAACCTAGGGTTAGCGTTAACCCACCTTTGAACAACCGGCCCCTGGATTAAAACCTCCTGTCCAGCCATGCCATTATCACATAAACAGGCACATATACGTATACAGGGTTCTAAGACATGTTAAAAACCTGGCGTTAGACAAGTGAAAAAAAGTAGGGGCACATTCTGGCTGAATGGGTTAAATGCTTAATTTAAAGTCAATCCATTTACATGCTAAAACCAAGAAATATGCACTGAATTGATAATCTTAATAATCAATTCTATATATTGGGTTAACAATTTTATGATTCAGATAGATAAGATTGCGATTTACTCAAGTTTAATACTCTCAAATAATGTTCATGTTTTGGCTTTAATACTGGGCTTGTAGCAATCAGCAATGTAGCCATATTTATATTCATATTAACATATTGTTTTATATACTATGTGGGTTCAAACATGCTTTCTCGAGTTTTGTCAAACAAGTGAAACCCAGTATTTACTATAATGTGTTTATTCAAAATTTGAATTGTTGATTTTAACTAACATTTGACGGCATTGAAATGAAATAATTCAATATATAAAACCTCGCGCGCAAATTCAAATTTTAGCAGCCACAACACTACAACAGGCCAACAGCCACAAGATAAAATGGGTAAATACGGTCGATGTACGTTATAATTATATGATATAAACAATAATATTTCATACCTGAGATCAATAAGCCTTCGGCAGGATTCGGAGTCACTTATCCAGTACAAAATAAGATAAATACCATGGACTCTTCTTGGGCAAAATATACTCAAACGAAAAAGTCGAAAATTTGCAAATCACACTTGAAATTTGATACACGATATCCCACAACTCATTGCGCGCGTGACCCTTGTCTTCTAAAATAGATACATCAAAAAGCGCTCCCAATCTATCGTAGCGCTAGCTTGAAATTGTAGGAAGCATTAATCTGGCGGTCTCTGGCCAAAAAATGATTATAAAAATGATGAAAATTCTTATGAGCGAATAATGAGATAGATTTTCTAAAAAAGTTATATGCCAATTGCAATTTAAATATAAAATTTTTATGGTTTATTACAGTATTAACGTATCGCATGTCTTAACATGTGACAGCATTAATCGTGATGTCATAACATGTGGTGATATTTATACGCAAAATCTTGGGTAAATTTACACATCATTTTTTGCGGTGGATCATACCATCTTCATTAAAGTGTAGATAGACGATTGTTGCAAATGATTTGAATTCATGTATAATTGTTATTTTTCAATAACAATTCATTGGCCATATACCGGCAAATTCATTACGATATCTGCCATGTTGAAACTGCGACAATTCAGGACAGAGCCGTTCAGCTTCAAATTTGACAAAAAAGTGAAAGATATACAATAGAACTAGGTTTAATTCAATTCAATATCATATCTCGTTTCGGCCATGCAAAATTGCCGTCCGAAAGAAAGGTTTTGATATATGCGATAAATAATATTAAACTTCATTTCAAGATTGTTTTTCTAATTATAAGAATATTATTCTAGGATGGAAAAATGTTATTCTTAAAATAAGAAAAATATTCTCTCTCTCGAATATTCTT